GATGTTGCCATATGGATTATTGGTGAAGCCACGTGGGTTGAGATCATAAGCAGTTGCAGATGAATGTCTTCCTATTGAACTTGATGGCATGGTATATGGCGTTGGATCCGCCATTAATGATGTGAAATCATTACATATAAGTTGTGTCGGGCTATCAACTTGATCAGTTTGATATGTAATGCCAAAGCGAGAGGAATATGAGAGACCACGAGTTACACGAACCTCAATAAAAGTGGCATACATTTCAATAAGAGATTGTGAACTCCCCATATGAGCATCAACCATCATAGAAACATCATCATCGTTTGAAAGCTGAAATGATGTATACGTGAGCGGAAAAAGTTCAGTAGGAAATCTGTATTGAAGTGAAGATAGTCTTCTCTGGCCTGCTACACGAATCTTTAACGAAGTTTTTGTGATTAACTCCTCAATTGTGATGTTTCTCTTCAAGGTTAAGGGGATATAATGATCTGACTCAAAAACAACCCCCTCTTCAGCTTCCTTAATTTCTCCATCATACAAAACAACAGCAGAAAGACGACTCATTTTCAGAGAATTTGAGAATTTAGAGTTTGGGAATTTGAGAATTTGAAAGATTGTGAAATGAAGTTTGTTTTGAAAGTTTATAATACGTTGCATATAATAGTGTCTATAATCGGTTCACTATTCACATGAAGGCGCGTTCCCGGGGGCGCGCCTTCCATTATTTCGTCAGAGAATATTATCATTGCCCTATTATGTCATTCATGTCCCTCGGGGACACTAGATATATCAGTACCTATTATTTCACTATTCACATGAAGGCGCGTTCCCGGGGGCGCGCCTTCCATTATTTCGTCAGAGAATATTATCATTGCCCTATTATGTCATTCATGTCCCTCGGGGACACTAGATATATCAGTACCTATTATTTCACTATTCACATGAAGGCGCGTTCCCGGGGGCGCGCCTTCCATTATTTCGTCAGAGAATATTATCATTGCCCTATTATGTCATTCATGTCCCTCGGGGACACTAGATATATCAGTACCTATTATTTCACTATTCACATGAAGGCGCGTTCCCGGGGGCGCGCCTTCCATTATTTCGTCAGAGAATATTATCATTGCCCTATCATGTCACTCATGTCCCTCGGGGACACTAGATATATCAGTACCTATTATTTCACTATTCACATGAAGGCGCGTTCCCGGGGGCGCGCCTTCCATTATTTCGTCAGAGAATATTATCATTGCCCTATTATGTCATTCATGTCCCTCGGGGACACTAGATATATCAGTACCTATTATTTCACTATTCACATGAAGGCGCATTCCCGAGGGCGCGCCTTCTATTATTTCGTCAGAGAATATTATCATTGCCCTATTATGTCATTCATGTCCCTCGGGGACACTAGATATATCAGTACCTATTATTTCACTATTCACATGAAGGCGCGTTCCCGGGGGCGCGCCTTCCATTATTTCGTCAGAGAATATTGTCATTGCCCTATTATGTCACTCATGTCCCTCGGGGAATAACTTAAATTTAACTTCTTTTGAAAGTTCAACAAGTTAAGAATAACTTAAATTAAAACGTTATGTGAAGTTTGAATAAATTAGATAAAATGTTATGGATAAATTGAATAAATGTGAAGTGATAAGTTGATTGTGACATTGAAATTGTATGGAATGAGCATTGAAATGTGACATTGAATAAATTGCCAATTCACCCCCCTCTTGGTTGATTCCGTCGATCGATGAACTCAACATAAGTTGATTTTAATGTATACGTTTTAATATATATGTTAATGATAAAATCATATGTATGGATAAATTTAATTTCAATTTAAGTATTGTGAACTATAATTGGAATATAACTTTTAATTTCGAATACAATTGGAATATTAAGTTGAAATTTAATGTTAAATTTCGAATACTATAATTTATATTTTAAATTTAAATTTGAATAATATTATTTTTATTTTAAATTTCGAATAATATAATTTGTATTTTAAAAACATTTATCAAACATTTAATGTTAAATGTGAATAAAAAATAACATTAAAAAATATGTATGTAACAACCATGAAACATTTAAATAACATAACCAAATTACATAAAATTCTGAAATTTAATTATTTAAATAACATTAAATATAACTGGATCACCGATGTCGTCTTCTCGAATGAGTTCCACATGGCGGTGGTTGCCTATTTAGTGGAGGATTTCTTCGTGGAACTTGTTCTTCAGTCTCCTCATCTTCACTATCATCATCAGCAGCATTTTCTTCATTTGGTGTAGATGACGCTGAAGGGGCTGAAGGGCCTGTATAAAATAACGACCCTGGAGGAGTGCTAGTAACAATCCCACCACTCCCCGGGAACTGTGGAAACTGTGGAAACATTGGCATCGATGTATGTGATCCAGATGAAGATTGAGGTGTCTGCGGAGAAGCACCACCAGCCAAATAAGATGCATATGAAGCATATGCTGGATCATTAAACATAGTCGTATATGCACCTCCATATGGTATAAAACCCTGCGGGCTAGGCATGTAACCTGGCGGGCTAGGCATGTAACCTGGCGGGCTAGGCATGTAACCTGGCGGGCTAGGAATGTAACCCTGCGGGCTCGGAATGTAACCCTGCGGAGATGGCATATAAACTGGTGGGCTTGGCATATGAAGTGGAGGGCTGGGCATGTACCCCTGCGGCATCGACGAATAAGGATGTTGTGGTGGGACTGATGCAGAACCGGTAGCGCATTCTCTCCGTCCACGCGTCGGGGGACGATGATATTGAGACGGTTGACGTCTTTCTCGGCGCCTAGGAATGTTAACCCCTCGTGCTTCCGCCGAAAGTAGAAACGGCTTCCCATTTTCATTAAACCAGTCCATATAGTTATCCGTAACCATATGACCAGTTTCAGCGTAATATTGTCGAGGGGCCAACAGTGTATATCGGTTCTCCCAAAGCGCAATCCAATCTCTGTGTCTCACCACCCAGTTAACATCTTTCTTTCCCCGTCTATCTATGTTATGCACGTCGTCTAAATTTCTAGGAGCTCCAGGAATATATTGCGTACAACCATACTGACGGAGCACGCGATCAACTGGATGCCACTTAATAATAGCATAACATATAAGAGGTATAACCGATATCCATACCTCTAATGACCCACTAAGGTGGGGTGGGATGCAAGCTTTCACTTCATCGCTCGCATAAGGTATCCACTGAAACTGAAATATAAATATACAATTCAAATAAATAAAATATTCTAATTATATCTAACATTTTAAATTAAAATATTAATAATTAAACAAATTTAAAAACATACCTCAGACCCAGCTTTCGTATCAATAAGTAAACAAATTTCCTCTAACCCAGTAGGTATACTTTTATGGTCCTTTCTTTTCATCGACTACCTATGAAATATAATATAAACTAAATATCACCCTATTTAATTGAAAATATTTAAATCAAAATTTAGTTCGAAAATTACCTCAACAATAAGGGGAATACGTAGGTTCATTCACGATCGGGCATAAGAAAGGCATGCGGAACCACGCCCATGATTGTAGAAGCAGAAGACATCCACCGATAGCAGTTTTCTTATAATTCGTCGCCCGACACATTTCTCTAAAGAGAAATGCCAAAACTGCAGCACCCCAACTATATCTTCCAGCTTCATCAAAATCGATCAGATGCCGCAACCACATACAATGCACCTGGTTGCGAGATTTGTCGGGCATCAATATTCCTCCAATTATTCGTAGAATATATGCCCGAGCACATGCCTTTGCTTGATCCTCTGAAGCATTTTCATTTAAAACCTCAAAATTAGCTTTCAACCAAGATAAAGCTATTCTACCTCCATTAAACTCTGGCGGAGCAGCTCCAAGATAATCAATGCACATTGATTGCCAATCACCATCCGCCATACCACACATCATATTTCCGTCGACGGGAAGCCCCAGATGCATAGAGACATCCTCCAATGTAATTGTTGCCTCCCCACATGGAAGGTGAAAAGTGTGTGTCTCGGGCCTCCACCTCTCAATCAGTGCAGAAATTAGGACAGGTTCGAGTTTGCAACCGCCTATAATTGTTGCAATATACCCGAACCCATCAGAAGCCAAATATGGCAAAATACGTTCCGGTGTCGGTATACGTGGATTTTTAATAAAAGTTTCTAAAATACGATCAGCATCCTAAATAATATATTATAAAAAGTAAAAATTAATATAAATTCATAATAACTTTAAAATAAAAATAAATTTAAATATTAACATTAATTATAAAAAATATTACCATATCGCTAAAATGTCTGGAGATATGATCAATATCCAATCGCAACAGCATTTCGTTTTCCATTATAACTGTAGACAAAACATATAATTAGCAAAAAAAATTAATAATTCTAAATAAATAATAATTATATAAATATTATTTTAATAAAAAAATAATATTTACATAAATATATTAATATAAAAAATAATAACTTTTTAAAAAAATACTAACATAAAAATAAATTTCTTACCACTAATAACAAATTTAAAACTCAAATAGTTGTAGAATTTGAGTTATATAAGAGAGGAGAAGATGATTTTGGTGTGAAGAATGAGTGAGGGTTGAGGGGGTTTATATAGGGGAGGATGAGGGGTAGTTAGGAAAAACGGATGGGGGCATTTATGACATTTAATGGAAGGCGCGTCCCCGGGGATGCGCTTTCCACACGTGTCTGTTGATATGGCAAAGGCGCGTCCCCGGGGACGCGCCTTTCACACGTGGCATCCAACTCAGCGAAAACACGGGTAAAGCGCGCCCCCGGGGACGCGCCTTTGCCAACTCAGCAGAAAAGGTGCTAGTTTTGGAAATATTGGTCGAACGGTGTTAGAAAAGTAAAAATAAAAACAAACGGTGTCAGATATGTAATTTAACCAATTAAATTCGAGTTTTAAAAGTAATGAGACCAAATCAATTGCCCTAACCTTCCACACTAGCAACCATGCATCAACTGCTATCGTTTCCTGTGAAATAGATAGGCCACGGAAGCTGCAAAAAGAAGAACCACCGCCGATCCCGCCTTCATCACCGGCACCCTAAATAACCAGCCTTTGAACCCTTTATCCCTCCACCTCCCTTTAATGGCTTCACTAGTCTTCCTTTCCACCACGTCCTTCAATTCCCACATGTTGAACTCCAACAACTTGGCCCTTTCCTCGAATTCCCATTTTTCTGCAGTGGTTTTCTCCAATTCAACACTCGTCCTCTTAGCCTCCCCCTCAAGCGCCTCAACTTTCCTCTGCAATTCATTGATTTTCTCTTTCATCTTCTCTTCCGTCCGTATATTCTTACTCCGTTCTTCTATTTCCCTCACTTGTAAAACCCCTAATTTCCTCTCCAGATCCCTCTCTTTCATCTCGATCTCCATCTTCTCTTTCTTCAACTCAACCATTTCCTTCTCCATCGATTCAATCACCGTGGCTTTCTCTTCCAACTCTTTTTTCAACCCGACCGCCTCTCTGTTCGATTGGTCTGTCGCACTCATGGAGTTTATGAGATCGCGTCGTAGCCTGGAGACCTGGTTTTCGAGGACGGCGTTATCATCTTCCCATTTGCCTAATTCTTGCTTCATTTCCTCGTCCTTGTTACGTAATTCATTGACAAGTAGGGTTAGTTTCCTAAGCTTTTGTTTCACTTCTTTGTTCTCTCTGCCCAATGCGAGCTTTTCTTTCTGAAGAACTTCCATCTTTTTAGTCAGTTCAATTAGTTTTTCCTCATTCTCGTCGGTGATGCTTAAATCCTCCATTGTCGTAGGATGCCTACAAAATCACAGAGAAAAAACAGTAGGAAACAATATATATATATATATATGCACATTTGTTTTGTTGATTAATCCACACTTAATTCTTCCAAGAAAAAAGAATAATTGGAGATTCGATTAATGCGTCAACTTAACCGTCTTTTCAAAATGATCGTTGAGGTCACGATGATCTATTTTAAAATATACTTATTTTATAAATTAATAAATACAAAAATATTATACTAATATAAATATAAATTTTTAAAATATAATATAAATATTATACTAATATATTCACTAAAAACATCGTTAAAATTGAAAATAAATGATTAAAAGTTAATTTTTTATATTCACTAAAAACAGATTATCTTAATAATTTATTTACGTTCATCTTACTATCTTAAAAGAATTTAAAAAAATTAAATTTTTTTCGCTAAATATAATGAAGCTTTAACTTATATAAAATAAATAACATTTATTATTATATAGAGAGAGGGGGTTAAGATTCACTTACACAATGTAAAACATTTTAGTTTTACACATATTTAAGACCGTTGGATGTGTGATATTATCCACTTACATTAATGTAAAACTAAAAGTTTTACATTTTTTAAGGACCGTTGGATTGAAAAAAATCAAAAGCTGAGATTAACCCATTATTTTTCAATGAATATCTTTTTATTTTCTAATATTAATCTACATATTTAATTTCTCCTCCTTTTAACTATCCTAAAAAAATGCAAACTTTTGAAAAATCACCAATATCATAAGAAATTAAAAAATCATTAATAATATCCTAACTGTAAAACTAAAACTTTTGATTTCCGGTAAATATCTTCTCTATTTGTTCAGGGTTTTAAAAATTCATCAATATCATGTGAAATTAAAAACATTATTAATATTACATACTCTTGGAAATTGTACATGTAAGAGAATTCAAGTATTAATGGTATTTTTTTACCCATTGAACAATTTCACTGATAAAGAAAATAATATCTTATTTAAAAAATTGAATTTAAACAGTTTTATTTATAAAATATACATGTAATTAATAACTAAAAACATTCTCAACCATAATTACTCAATACTTTTAAAAGAAGGAAAATTTTAGAATAGATGTCAAACATTAATATTCACCACTAATTTTTAAGGTAAACTTTATCAATGGACATTGAACTATATCAAAATGATCATTTTAGACACCAAACTTTCCAAATTATATAATAGACATTAAACTTTTGTAACAGCCCCAGACCCATATGGGAGACCCAATCCGATTCGAAGTTTCACATTAGGGCCACTGGAGCGACCCTCAGTAAAAATTCAGGAAAAATAAATTTTTTTGTTAAACTATTTCAAACCGTAAAATAATTTATAAATAAATTGTACAAGTTCATAAAACATTTATATATCAGAACAGAATTCAAATATACGTAACATTAAAGCAAGCTACAAACTCAATATAAAAACAAATATGGCCTATATCCCCCCTAATTATACAGGTATCGTACTTTGCAAGTGACACCAATGGAACTCCCATACTGATGCCAATACTACACAGGATTGATTCTTTAACCTGAAATGGTGAGTAACAGAGTGAGCTTTGAGAAAGCTCAATAATACAGAACTACCAGATGATGCTAAAGGACAAATAAATATATGGCAAAGCATAAAACCTTCATATTGACCCATGCTTAAACATGTTCTAGTGGTGAATTGAGGTTCATTAATTAAATCTTTAGGTAACAATTAAGAAGCTTATAGTTTAGAGGAAACATTTAGAGAGACAAATTCAAAAGATGGAGTTGGGGAGTCTAGTGTGTTCCAACAAAACTAGAAATAGTAGTTTATCTTAGGAAAACATATTTTTAAAAACACAGTAATACCCTCCAACCGAACATCGATATGCAGTTCCCCAGAACTGCATCCATAATTTCGGGTGCACCATAAAGGTATTCAGGAACCTTACATCAGAGTTATTTATGATTCAGATATAAAAAAGTGTTTTCATTACTCGACCATCATGGGCATTTTAGTCATCACGATTCTTGAAGAATCTTAGTAACTTAATCCATTGAGGAAAAAATGATGATTTGTGATATTCAAGATTTATATCAAATTATCAAGATTTTGAGTCAAATCAAATTAAACAGATCTCAACATCACGATACTCACCAATCATTCGGACCGATATCCTTCAGAATATTCACGTCTTAATAGTAATTGCACTAGTTGAACTGATCACCTTCCGAATTTATCAATAAACTTATCTTGAGGAAACGAACAAGTATTCCGGTGGAAAATTTTTTGTATTCCTGTAATATCCCAAAATTTGGTTAGTGGCCAAAATATAAGTTTTGAAAGTTTAGTGACCAAAGTATAAAAGTGAAAAATGTTTAGGGACCTAAGTGGTAATTTTCCTAAAATTAAATTTTACTTCGTAAATAGATAGTTTACATTTGAGAGGGGTTTTATGAAAATCAGATTCTTGATACGAGATTTATGTTAAAAACTAGAAAATTGTTTAAGTTCGATAAAATTCAGTAATTTGGATCAAATAGAAATTTTGAGAAAATTTGAAGGATTCTAAATTAGGATTGAAAATATTATTTCCAAATTTTGAAATGATGGAAAATAATATAAACCATTGGATTTGAGGATTTAATTTCATGTTAAATTTGGATTGTTGGATGGCAACATTACAAATTTTGGAAAGTTGCATGGACAAAATGGTAAAGGGTGAAATATGTTTTTAATCTTTGACTTTTGGAAGATGATAAGATTGATGTGGCTTGGTTTAGTGGTTAATATGGAATTTCATTAAGGGTAAATTTGTCTTTTCCCAATTAAATGAATTTAATATTCATTTCAGCTTAAATTAAGAATAAATTAGCATGAAATTAATCTAAAATTTCATGTAAGCTTTGTTTATCTTTCTCTCCAAGCTGTGAACCTCTCCTTAGGTAAGATAAAAATTCTTTTCAATTTTGAGCAATTTTCTTAGGCTTTTGGATCTTGCCGTGAAATAGAAAATTGTTTTACGAGAAAATTGCTATCTTTTGGTACCATTTATGCTTGCTAATCTTGCTTTATTTCAAAGATCCCAAATTCTAGGATTTATGTTCATATTAGGGTTTATGGAATTGATGATGAATCTTGATGTTTTTGATATTGTAGATTCATTTCCAAACTTGTTTGATGATTAAAACATGTTCAATCCTCCTAGAAATGCATTCTTAAGTTTTAGCCAAACCCTAAAGTTAGTGGAACTTTGTGTTTTGATGAAATTTGATTAGTTCTTTGATTGTAGAGATTTTATAAGGTTGGATCGAGGTTGATTTCATGCTTGAATCGAATCAAAATTTAGTAAAATCATGAAGAAAAAAAACCTTAGCCTTGAATTTTTGAAGTATTTGACCTTGGCTTAAATGGATGGGAAAACTTTTGGAAAAATTATTAAGGGTTGGAAATGATGTAGAAAGTATTCTACAAGCCTTAGAAAAATTTGGGACCATTTAGTAATTTTTGAAAAGTTGGGGGACTAATTTGGTAATTTTAAAAAGTTAAGGGTTTGTTGTGTAATTGTTCAATAACTAATATACTATGCTTGAAATTTTTATTTTTAAATTGAAATTGATGTTAGAATATAAAATATGATCATTTTAGAAGTTAGGAAAGTTTGGTATTTTATATGAAAAATTTGAATAGTTTGGGGTGCTTTAAGATAATTATTCATTTTATATGGACTTGGATGGAAATTCTTTCAATGCTGGGATTTAGTATTGAAATTTAAGTAGGTAAAATGGTGAAGGGGCATTTTATATAAATTGGAAAAGTTGGTGCCAAAATTTAAAAGAATTCACAAATGGGAAGTAATTTGTTATCGAATAAGTTTCAAAAATATTGTTAAGGATTGTTTTTATTGGATTTTATTTATGTTATTACACTACTAACATAAGATTTAATATGTAATGGTGACTTTGTACAGATCGTAACTGACTTTGTACTCGAAGCTAATCGATTAAAAAAAGAACCAGTTGAAAGCTTAGTGGGGCTAATGTTTTTGCTATATATATAAAGTGTCAATGTGAGTGCAATGCATGCATGACATTATACATGGATGTTTTATGCATCATTGGAAAGACTTGCGATAAGTCTACCTTGTTTATATCAGCATGAAATTTATGTCATTCATCATATTATTGACATATCCTTAAAATGTCAAGATTGAAAATATAATGCATTGATCATTCATATTCGTGATGATATGACATGGATGATATTTCGGGTATGAACTTTCCAATGCTAAAACCATATTGATATACATTGCCATGGATGAATTAATTCAAGACTAGATGTCCAAGTATGTTATTGAGGTTCAGTGGTATTAATGGCATGTCATAGAGTATAGATACTACAAATTTAAGTAGGACTAGAGTGTCTAGCGAAGGCACATGGTATAGGTCATGTGGTAGAGGTGGGTATATGGGCTAAGTCCCGCGGGCTACCTGTTTAACCCGTGGCCCATGCGGGTTTTGGACATCAAAAACTGAAGCTCATTTAAATTACGAGCTTTTTAGCCCGAACCGTTAAACCCGCGGGTTTAATGGGTATAACTGCGGGTAGCCCACGAAGCCCGCAATAGCCCGCTTAATTTAAATTTTATAAAATCTTAGAGAAAATAAACTTAAAGAATTTTATAGAAAAAGAAAATAAATTACATATAAATATGATGTTACTTATAACCATTGTAGTTCTTAAATTTATTAGGGAATTTGTCATAATTCTACTGTTGCTTGATATTTTTTTTCATTTACAATGTATCAAATTAT